TGCAGCTCCCGCTCCCCTAGCTGAAACCCCTCACCCTGCTCGCTTCATGTACCGCATGGAATACATGATCCTGTCGGGGGCACCCCGATTACTGGGGACCTCCCGAGCACGCCGATGACACTCCCACGACAAATACGATTCGGCTCCAAACGTGTACCTGGGCTGGTGCACATTTCTTAAAAGTCGCCAAATATAATTATTATTAATAGCAAATCGCCAATAACAGTTTATTATCCCGATCATTTCACTATTGTCACATGGCACTTTCCCTGGCGTTGCCGCCTGGAGCCACACAACGATGCACGGGACGGGAAGCATCCCCAAAGGATCACATCCTGGACAAGCGAGGCGGATTGCCTACGTCCCCGCGTCCCCAACCCTACCCCTCTCCTCCTCCCTACCCCGCTTTCCCGCGCCTTTATGGAAACGTAAACAAACATTGGAAATCGGAGTCACCTTGAGAAAAGGCCCTTTCTCAAGGGAGTCACGATCGGCGTTTCTGGCAAATACCGATAATACCTACATTGGATTTTAACCAGAATTTTAGAGTGGACATCGCCGCTTTTCGACATTAATCGCAAGGTATAGTGCTTGATTGTTTCCGGCCCGGAATATTGAATTGTTCCATTCCGGTTATTGTTGTAGGAGGTTAGTAGTGTGCTCCTGTAGCTCAATTTTTACACGCACAATTAAGTTGTAAGTTAGTTTTTGAGGCCGAGTAAATGATGCCCGTGATGTAAATAACTTGGCTCACTGTCAGCTTTGTTGAAAAGTTGTTGAATGGGGACATTCCTCCAATCCATGCCGTATGTTAAATACTAGCTGTTGTAGGTCACGTACGCAAATGGGTGAACTGCCAGTGTTTTATCACATATCATATATTTTACTCTATATTATTCTCGTGGAACAGAAAACTTTACTACTTCCTGTTTGGGGTTCAAACCAAGTGGTACTATTTGCGTAATCCCTCAAACAATCAATCAACGTGCATTGCAGATAATTTGCAGCTGCCCCTTCGTACTCAATGCTTAGTCCAGTGCCAAAATGAGTTATTTGAAAGACCATGGTTATTTAGAGACGCATGGGGGGAGAGGCATTTAAAAGTATATTGTATGAGTAAATTATTTGTAATTAATAGTTGATGAGCGCTAAAAGTACCGTGTAATATGATTGCAGGAACTCGGCCCAGAAATGTGCTTGACATGAGCAAGAGAAGTCTATGGAGTCATTTTACCCAAAAGAATAGGTGAGTTGACATACAGTAACCGCCAACGCTGGTCCAATTTGTCTCTGTACAGACACTTTGAGGAGCTTCCTTTTGTGTGCATCAAAGGGTGGTATTTGATGTTTTTTGTGGTGCCTTGGTTCTTTGTTGTCGATTTTAATCCCCATCTGTCAAAATGATTTGTTATCACTGAAAATATCTTTTAAAAATCTTGACAATTTGGAAAATTGCTGGAATTGGTTTGGATTGGTCGGGTAAACTCCCTTTTCAGTTACTCTGTTTAAATATCATGGTGCCGACCCACTACAGCAGAGTTCTTAACCAGTGCGCCTTAGGTAGCCTACCCGCCCTTAGTTAGAGAGACCAGCTCTTATAAAACTCAAGTTTCTGGGGACAGGAGTGGTTTCTGACAGAAACAAAGGTAGTTTTGTGGTCCCTGGTTCACCCCTATCTATTCGAGCACTCCTCCGTCAAAAACCGCACCCATGCCTTTTTAAATTTTGCCAAAAATGAAAAATTTGAAAATCGCTGGAAATGGTTGGGATTGGTCCTTTCAATCTCTCCGTCGAAGTTTCACGCCGCCGGTCCATTTCAAGTGAGTTACACCTGTTTATCTTGGACCGGTTCGCCTGCGAGGTAGGCAGCCCATCTTACGCTGCCCGCCAGGGGTGGTATCTGACGGAACCAAAAGTAGTTTTGTGGTCCTCTGAAAAATTAAAATCGCTGGAAATAGTTGGGATTGGTCAGACTGAATCCTCTTTTAATCTTTGCGTCGAAGTTTCACACCGCCGGGCCATTTAAAGTGAGATACGCCTGTTTTTGGACCGGTTCGCCTGCGAGGTAGGCAGCCCATCGTACGCTGACCGCCAGATTCAAAAGACCACCCTTCAAACTCAAGTTTCTCTGGACAGGGGTGGTTTCTAACGGAACCAAATGTAGTTTTGTGGTCCCCTGGGCCACCTCTGTCGATTTGACTACTTTTCCGTCAAAATCCGGACCCACCCATTTTTGCTAAAAACACAAAGGCTATAGCCTTTGTAAATTTGGCCAAAAATGAAAAAATAAAAATCGCTGGAAATGATTGGAATTGGTCTAGGAGGGTCGCCTTTGACCTCCTCTGTTGAAATTGCGTGCTTCCTGCCTCTTTTGCA